TATATATATATATATATAAAAACCCCACCACATTATACAGAAGTGTAATACCAGATATCAGAATTTCTTAAAACCTTTGGCTACCAATTATTTTTTTACATAGTAGGTAAAACATCTGGAAAAAAGGAGTGTTTTAGACCCTAAGTAAGTTTTGGCTTCATGCTTTTTAGAATTTCTTCTGAAGCATTTTCTACTAATCTGAAAATTTCCAGTCTACTACTAAAGTTGTGTTATTTTCCATATTTGTTCTTTTTGGGATGGGCATGGTTAGGAAGAAGAGATGAAGAGGAAGTAAAATAGGTATCTTTTTATAAACACAATACTAAAGTCAGTTTAATCTCATGGCAAGTTATTAAACTCAAGGATATCTTTTTTTAAAAAAATCCAAGTGAATACACACTTGAAGTAAGTTACATTTAAACACTTAACAGGCTGCTATAGGTGTCTTAGCAAAGTAGTTTACTGTAATGAAAATTTCTTTACAAACATATCCCTACTGAACTACCCCCTTTTTTTAGTCAAAAGTAGACATTTCTATCACTGATTGCATTCGCACAGCATCACAGAACACACTAAATGCACTGACCTATTATACATACATTTTTACTCCCTTCTCTCCCTCCCCCCCCAAAAAAAATATTACATGACATTTGGTGAACTAAAGGAGTAGTCCACTTGCCTGTTTTAACTACCATTACCATGTTTCCATATATTGAACACCAACTCATTCTAGAAGGGAGAAAAATGGCTACAGGAAAAGAAAATAGCAAATCCAAGCAAAGTGATTTAACAAGAAAGTATTTGACATAAAGGTGTCAACGTTCTTGAAGTAATTTTAGATGGGTTCAATAATAAGAATTTTCCATCTGCAAGTAAATATCCTTCAGTTTGATATTTTAGCATAAAAAAAGCATGTGAAAACAACTTTTAACTCAAGTTATCTGGCTAGCTATTTTGTTAGAAATGCTTATTTTTAGAGCTTTATTTGCATAAAATCTAACTAGAATCACTCAGATTTTTCATATTAGTGAAGTCTCATCCCAAAACCTATGGCAGTGACCATCAACCTTGCCTTAGCTCAAAAGAAAAGGCTACTTGTGCAGGTACAGTTTTCCACCCAAAAAGACTCACCTCTACAAAGCCTATAGCAGAAATAAAACAAAGACAAAAGTTATCTGGTAATATATTGCTTTTAATTAACACACAGGTGACAGGATAGTGTTATGATAAGCATAACAAAACTGTTTATTTCCAATTGCATTATATTTTAAAGTAAAGAAAGCATTGTACTTCATGTATCAAAAGATGAGAGCTGTTTTGAATACAGACCTCCGTACTGTACCAATCACAGAATCCTAAACATTCTTACTGGACAAGAGTGAATGTCATTCAACTCATTTTTGAGTCATCTAATTGCAAAGAAAGTTTCAATGTTTATTACAGTTCAGCAAAACATGCTTAGATTAATAAGATTACAGTAGTTAATGTTCATACAATCTCTAGATAGATTACACAGACTTATAAATCCTCAGACTTCCGAATACAAAAGACTTACAGCACAAACAATACACAAATTGATATGTCCTAACCCATCCAGAAATCATCAATACAAAACTGTCACATGAAATGCCACATGGTTTGTAAAAATTGTCTGTACACTGTACCCGAAAAACCAAGGAATGCATTCCTTCAGTTAAACAAATATAAATTTCACTTTTAGCATCTATAGCAGGGTTTCCCAACCTATGGGTCGCAACCCAAATACGGGTCACCATTACATTTCAAAAGGGTTGCCAAGTGTCTCCAACCCTCCTGCTCCCCTCCCCGTTTTTAAATTGCTTTGGGTCACCAAGTCTTCCTGAATTGTCAAAATGGGTCCCCATCTGGAAAAGGTTGGGAACCACCGATCTATAGGAATGCAGGCAGGAATTTAACTGCTGTCTCAACTCAACCACTTTAAATTAAAAAATATATATAAAGTGCCACATGTACTCCCTAACTTCCTATATTGCTGATAACTGTGGTTTTAAGATCACATTTTAAAACACGCTCTCTTTTCTGCTACAGAAAAGCCCTACTGGGAAGAAATCACAATGCTATGAAAGCAATGAAAGTGACAAGAGCTGTCATGTGCACAAACTTTAAAAAAAGACTACCTTCCCACAGTCTCTACAGGTATAGTATTGCTACATTATAACAGCGTGAGGCCAAAATGTTTTCAAACAGTTTTTGCATAAACAACAGTTTAAGCAAAAGGGCTTAAATTAATATTTAAATCTTCAATAAAACAGTATAAAGAAGCCAAAGGTGGCAATTAAAAATGTACAAACTCAGTTTTTTATATCATTGTTAACGTTATAGAAAAGCAACAGTGTGTCTGAATGGTGATAATCATTATTTCTTTATCTGATTTGTGTCCCAACTATTCCTATTCCACCATGTGCTTGAAGGCATTTCAATTATTGTAAATCCTGTGTAAGTATTGACATAAGAATTTAAATTTTGTCGGGTTTGTCACATAACTCGTTAAGGGGAAGTTGTAATTAAACTGAAAACCCATCTTCCAAATAGCCTATTAGCAAGAAGCAGACTTATACCCAAAGCCTTACTGCATTGTAGTCTTACGCTTATTTTCCTCCTGCATTACAATGAGCCCACAGATTTTTCAGGAATAAGGATAGATTTATATCAAGACAATAGTTAAAAAGGCACGTGCAATAACACGTGTCACCCTCCGTGACTCAACCGCCTATAAACAGAGGTGTAAGTCTGGATGCAACCTTCACTGAGGGTCCACGGCGCTGATCACACTCCAGAGCCCATAGATGCAGTCAAGCCTCACACAATTTCTAGGTGGGCTGTTGTGCCATGATTTCAGTCGTGCCCCGGCACGTGTAGGAGACCAGACCCAGCACGTGCACAGCCACAGCCTCCTCACAACACCCACCGCCTATGCCGCGCTCCCCCTAGCGCAGCATATAACTCGGCAACGCCACCTTGTGGCAGCAGGACAGCGCCGCAGCCTCCCCAGGAGCTGGCTCGCGCTGCCGCACAAGGCCCAGCCCCTGAACCAGAGAAGAAAATGGCGGCCGCCCGCTGCGTCACGTGACCCCCTTTGTGCCTTTTGGGGCTTGGGAAAGGTCCT